CATTCTACATTAGATGTGCGCGCGCGCGCGTGGTGTGTGTGCGTGTGCGTGTGCGTGTGAATAAAATGAATTCTTAAGGTAGACAAAAAAAACTATTAACGTTATTTTTATTGTTTTTTTGTTTAATTTGTTATTATATACCAGAATTATTTAAACAAGAACAAATAAAAACCAGGAATTTGATATGTTTTGTAATTTTCCCTCATATGAAGTATATATAATAAAATGTTTGATTATTATAATTTATTATCGTTATATTTAATAACAATTGTCATAATGAATTATTGTTGTAATTAGTGTTATTAAATTTGACTTGTGTTTGTGATAACTTTGTTATGTTAAGTTTATCTTTTATAGAATCACAGAATGCTATTGATTAAGTTGTCTTTCATTATAAACAAATATTCAGAAATACACTTTATTTATAAAAGCTATAATATATGGCAATTAAATATTTTTTTGAAGTCAAAATATGATTTAATTATATATATTACATGATTTAAGTATATGTTTTTTTTAATTTCTACGATGTTCTATAATAAGAAAATTGTAATGGCGGCGCTTCTCGCGGGTAAAATAATGCCTTGAGTAGCGCTGTTAAATCAAGATCGCATATATATATATATATATATATACATATATATACAAGCAGATAAGCAGTTGCATCAGTGCATTAGTGCACGTCAGTGTATTGAGGTGTGTTATGGGAGATAGTAGAATACTCGTTATTTTCTCCATGAACTATTTTCAAACACAATAACTACTTAAAATACGTGTTATTCAAATGTGGAACTTTACTATATATAAAAGATATCAAAGAACTTTACTATATATAAAAGAAAATGTAACGAATGCCTCTCACGAACGGCGAACCTCCAATTTGCGATTAAATTCTGAATAACGAAACGAATGACATTAAATATGTGGCAGGACACGATAGTATTGTTGGAAAATATGGATATGCAATTATAGGTGCACTAACGCCGTAACCTTGCAGGAATCTTCGTTATTGATAGCTGTAGTGTAACCTAAAAGCATAGCACGATAATAATTACGAATGTTAATCTGTCATTAAATTTATCCTTTATACTGTACTATACTGTTCCAAACAGTCAAGTCTCATGAGAATTGCAAAGTTATAAATCTGTTATAAATTTTATCAATAGGTTATCAGCATATATGATGGTCAGCAGAATATAATAGCAGATTGAGAAATTGTGCGAAATGTATTCCTAAACATTTGTATGATTCCTAAATATTTAAATGTATGTGTTTGTGGAAGGAAGTGTGTGGTTACGGAGTTCTGATTTGGTTGTTAGATTATATTATATTATATTTAAAGACAGAATATCAAATTTAATAGGAGCATAATGTTATTAACTTGTCAAAATATTTTGTTAGAATTTGTTGGCAGGTTGCTTATATATTGCTAATGTTTTACCTATTATTGTATTCTCAAAAAAATAATTTTTATTTATTTTAGAACATCATGTTTTTATCATTGTTATAATAATTATGATTACAAAACGATATGATTATAACATAACTATGATGGCTGTACTTTTATGGGGATTATAGATAGCGTATCTTTATATTGATCTCAATGTTATCACTAGATGTAATATACTCATTAATTCCAATTTTTATAGAGTGTCTTCTGAAATATTAACTCTTTATTCTGATCTTATAATAAAATCTTATAATAAGATCTCACGTAAATATACATAAAAATGAATATATTTACAAAATCATATGTATACAATTAATCGAAGATAAAAAAAATTTTATCAAATTTATTTATTTAAAAATTATATATATATTAAATTCAATAAATTCTTAAAATTTTTTTATCTTCAATTAATTATATACATATGATTTTGTAAATATATTCAATTTTATATATATTTAAATAAAAATAATAGTAATTAATAAAAATTTACAAAGAAAGATAATATAACATAATTTTAAAGCAGCATCATTAATGCAACTTAAAATAATCGCTTTTTTTAATAACAATTTAATGACGTAACGATTTTTAAGATCTGAAACAAAAAATTGAAAAAGAAATTTATTCATTTGAAAAGAAAAGATTTTTTTAAATTGCTGTTTTGAGACAAGGCTATATATATTATTATTACAAATAATTAAATGTTTATTGTTTTATAAAATTATTTTTGGAAAATTTCAAATAAAAATTTGTATCAAAATAAAGTTAATATATGATATTTAATAAATATTTAATGCACATTCAAAATTATTTATGAATGTTTCTTAAATTAATTAAATTAAATTTTTTCTATAATTTGTTGAATAGTTATTTATATACAAGTCATCTTTTACTTTGTAAAGAATATTCTGCGACGATTATGGAATATTTTCTACAGAAATTAGAATAATTTTAAATATCTTAATTTTATCCTTTTATTAATACAATATCAATTATGTTTCTTCATAGAATGCTGTCAAGACAGTTTATTCGTAGTTCCCAGTTACATATAATGCGATGTTTTACTCGTAGCAGTATCACACGAAAAATTAATAAAATGGACAAAGTTCCTCCACAAAAAAACAATGAAACTATAAAGAAAGCTGTCATAGGTAAAGTGTGAATTTACATATAGAAATTGATAAAATAAATGTTTTGTATATGAATTTTGTATATGAATTAAACATTTAATAATTCAAAGTTATACCGAAGTTAAATAATTTTATTTTTTAAAAACTATTACCTAAAATTACTAATAATTCACAGATTCTTTTTTGTAATATAATGAAAGATATATTATATGCCGAGAATGTTCGAAATCACGCAAAAATGTAATTTCTTGTTATTTATATGTATATCATATTTTTGTGTCTTTTTAGGAACACGTATGCATCGAGTAACTGATTTTGATAAGAGAGTATTAGTTTGGGTAAAAAGATATCCGAGTATTGCGGATGTTCCAATGGACGTTACGTATGTATTATATTTATATTATTTAAGATAAATCCAATAAAAAAATTAAAATATTTAATATTAAAATTATAAGTTTTGATATAACTGAAAAATCTTTAATATAAATTTTAAGATTATCAATTACAAAATTATGAAAAATATGACTTCATATCATTTCTGATCAAACAAAGAAACTTTAAATTACAAAAATATATTTATAATTTTCACATTTCACCAATTTCTTTGTACGATTGACTTATATATCATTTAACAAATAAATGTTTTCTTGAATAGAGTGGACTGTATACTCACTGCAAGAAATAAAGCACGAATCAAAGTCTGTAATTACATGATCATTGCTACTCTGATTGGTTGTATAGGCGCTGTAATACTTGGAAAAAGAGATGCTTCAGAAGGAAGAAATTTAGTTAAACAAAGAGAAGAATGGCTTCAGACACAGATAGAGAAAGACAAGAATAAATAGAATCATAAATACTCGAAGAATGTAGGAATCTTTAAGATAATTTTTCTAGGAGGCATAGACAGCTACTGTAAATTATATACATATTATCAATTGTATAATCATTATTTTAAAATTTAAAATGATATTTTTTGTGAAGCAATAAATACTTAGTTTTGATTTATATTTATATAAAATTATTTCTTATAATAATAAAGCAAAATATATTTTTA